CCCCCCCCAGCTCTGCCCGTGCCCCTCACTCCCGACCCGCAGCCCCTGCCCTGCTAACCTGGCACTGCAGGGGTTGGGTTTCGGGGTGAAATGTGACCCCCGGCTCCATCTGCCCCTGACGTACACCAGCTGGAAATAGGCCCCTCGTCATGGGGGGGGGGATCAGAGCCCACGGGGGGAGCCTGGGGGCATCGAAGTTACAGGGTCCCTGGTCAGGTTTATACCTTTCACAGATTTTAACTTTCTGTTTTCTCTCTTTTCTCCTTCCCTCGCTCCCCTCCCTCCCTTCTGCCTCTCTCCTTCCATTTCTCCCCCTTTCCCATTCCTCCTTTCTCCCTCTCTACCCCCACCCCGTCTTTCGCCTGCTCGGGGTGGGGGGTTATTCCTCCTTTTCTGCTGGTCCCTTTGTTCCTTGCGTGCCTTTCACCTTCCTTCGCTGGTTCCCGCTGTCGTTTGCTTTCGTGTCTCTGCTTTTCCCTTCCCTCCTTCCCCTCTTTCACTGGGGTTTATTCATTCTTCCGTCCCCTGGTCCCTTGTTCCCTTCTCCCCCCCACCCGCACAGGTCCCTCCTGCCCGGGGGGGCAGTCCTGGAGCCCCGACCTGGACAAGTGCATGGACTGCACCATCTGCCTCCAGCGCACGAAAAACGATTTCTGCGCCACGTGTACGTCCCGTCCCCACCCAACACCCACAATGCACTGGGGCTCTGGCCAAGGTGGTGGGGGGCAGAGGGTGGATCTGGGGGGTGGACGGAGGCAGGAGGGGGGGTCTCCAGGATGGTGGGAGGGGGCGTTGGGGTGTGGGGCTGAGTGGAGGGGGATTCTTGGGGAGGCTCTGGGTGGTGGCCGCTCTGGGGTGACTCGGGGGCCAGTGGAGGCGCTGGGATGCCGCTCCCCCTATTAACCCAGCTCTCTCCTCTCTGCCCCCAGGTGGCGAACCCCAGCCCCAGGATGCCTGGCTGTGGCTGGCCGTGGGGGGCGCCGTAGGGGGAGTCGCTGTGCTCGGCCTGGTGGGGGGGGCGCTGCTATGGGCCCGCTGCCGCAAGAGGGAGAAATTCACCAGTGAGTGACCCGCCCCCCCCCCCAAATCCCAGAGCCACCCCGGGCCCCAAACACCCTGAACCCCCATCCCCTGCCCCCCATATCCACCCTGTCCTCCACCCCCCAGATCTTCCTCTCCCCGAGTCCCAGAGCCACCCTGGGCCCAAACACCCTGAACCCCCATCTCCTGCCCCCCACATCCACCCTGTCCTCCGTCCCCCAGATCTTCCTCTCCCCGAGTCCCAGAGCCACCCCGGGCCCCAAACACCCTGAATCCCCATCCCTTGCCCCCCACTTCCACCCCATGCCCTGGCCCCCAGATCTTCCTCTCCCCAAATCCCATAGCCACCCTGGGCCCCAAACTCCCTGAACCCCCATCCCTGCCCCCCACATCCACCCCTTGCCCCGGCCCCCAGATCTTCCTCTCCCCAAATCCCATAGCCACCCTGGGCCCCAAACTCCCTGAACCCCCATCCCTGCCCCCCAC